ACATCAACAAAAGATTGAATAATACATTGTGGAATATTCACATAAAGGAATATTATATAGCAATTAAAATAGATGATATATATAACATGAATTTGAAAACCTAACATTGAGCAAAAAAAAAGTCTCACAAAAATACAAGCAGCATGAATCCATTTATTTAAATTATGAAAACTTGCAAAACTAAGTAATATATATTATTTAAAGCTACAAAAAACGTAAAGATGAACAGGGAGTTGTAAGTAAGCAATTCAGTGAGGTTTACTCTTGAATGAAAAGGAATGCCCATAGGTGGTGTTGGTCTTCATTCTAGTGATATTCTTCTACTTCACACTCTACATATGCATGCAATTGAAGCAGTAAGTTCATCAGAGCCTGTAAGTTCCTAATGGGCTTGATTGTGCTGAAATATTTAAAAAGTAGATTTCACCCACAGGTTTTAATGTGTTTGGAAGTAGACTTACTTTTGAACTATGTAAATATTCCTTGTTGAATTGAGCAGCCTTTAAGAAGTAGCGTGGCCACAGGGGTTATTTGCTTCTTTGGGGTTCCCACAATCTCTATTGTCTCTAGACTCCCACAGACTGCTGCACTTTGGGATGGAGAGCCTGAATAAATCAAGTCCCAGCTCCAATGATACTAACCAGTTGCTGTCATGTTGGCAAGGGGCACTTTATGCAAAAGAGATTTACTAAATTTTACAGTGGTCCTACTATGAGATAGTATTATTATATCCATTTTACAGATAAGAAAACTGAGACAGAGAAACTGAGAATCTTGCTCAATATCCATAGCTGATAAATTTTAGAACTGAGATTCATGCCCAGGTCTGCCTGACTTCAGACATTATTTTTTCCTGTCAGTCAGTCTCCTCTTAGCTCCCAGAGCTTTTGCTGTTCCAGCTAATTTGTTCCCTCTGTATCTCTCAGTAATTTTCCACATATAAAGTATTTTACAAATTTGACCCAAAGGAAGAAATTGGGTAGAGAGGAAATTCACTGTTTCTGCAGGAGAAGGGCTGCAGCACACACCCATCTGTTGTTTACTGAGGCTGAGAAGGCTGAACGGTTCCCAGTAAGCAGTGTCTGCCTTCTGCATTTTGCTTCTTTGGAAGATGTTTCTTGTCCTGCCCCTTACCACCCACTTGCTTCTGTCTGGTTTCTCTTTTGCTGGCCCTCTTCCCATAGCAGTTAATGTTTGCCCTGCAAGTGCCAGAGCATTCATCCTTTCTTCCTTGAATGATGTGCCCATTTGCATATCATGCAAACAGCCCAGCTGCTGAAGTCCCAGTTAGGGTAAATAACGGTCACAGTGTTTATGCTGATTCCTCCTGGGGCCTTCTGGAACCTGCTGCACAGCTCCAGGGGAGAAAATCGTTTTGTTGGAATCTCTGCTCTGATCTTGTGACATCATGAATGAATACTTATGCTAAAAATGCACACGTAACCCTTTCCATGTAAATATGTGCTTTTGAACCTAATGACGTAGGAAGGTTTGTAGATGGAGACAAAATACTCACTATTGTTTTTGCTTTGTCTAACTTAATTGATTTTTACTTTGGAATATGTTTTCTAAGTATTTCTAAGTATGTATTTCTAAAAAATACATTTATTTTAAAAATTCAGTAAAAATAATTTAACATAATTCCACAAACATTTAAATATTTTTTTCAAATGTAATCTGTTATGCTCTTTATGTGTCTAATATATCAATTTTATAGTAACTTAACACATGGCAATGAAAAAAGAATCAGTAAACTTATACTGAAACAGATTACAAGGTTTCTACCACCATTGATTTGTTTTTTACTTTCTTTATTATTATCCTTTCAGTTAAGTTTTTTCTCTCTTGTTTCTTCCCAGGAGTACAACTTACACACCAAACCTAGAGTGAGAGTGGTCATTTCTGGACCAGCTGAAGCTGTAGATTATCTAGTGGGATACCATCCTGGTTACAATTACGCTTTTTCTGTTACTGTAGAACCATTCAATTTGTTGGCTTTGAACTAAATAAATTTTATTTTTTGTGATCCCAATCAGTGCTCCACAAATGATGCTTATTTTGAATCTCATTTTTGTAAAATAGTCTGTCTTTTTTGAATTTTTTTTCATTTATCAATTAAGAAATACAGTCTCTTAATATTCATTTTTATATGCAGGCATAAATATTTCTATTTTATTTTAGGTCACATATACTTTTAAATATATTTATATATTATATATAATTATATATATACTATACATATATATAATTCATTTAACAAGCTTCTAAAAATCTGATCATTAGTCATTTAGGGTGAAGCCTAGGTGAAGCTCTGATAAAAAAAAAAAGTCAACAATCAGATTGTAGCAGTTGCCAAATCTCCAGAGATCCTAATGAAAATATCTAATTATTTGACATTTTAATATTCTGGTTTATGTAAATGTCATTGCCCTAGAATGATTTTACCAACAACTGTTTTGAATTCCAAGACTTGAAGTGTAGGAATTTCAGGTAGAAAGAGTGAAAGTTAAGTCACAAATGTATATGTTTATTCCAACTCATTCAATTTTTTAATGCTTACTGTATCCCTATGCTGGGCCCTGTGGAGGCCATAGAAATCAGACTAGCGACCTACACTGCAGCACACAGCCTTGCTAATACCTCTGAGAAACACGCTAAAATGGATGCACATGTTGGCCAGCAAACCCACACACGCAAGGAAAATGCCTTTCTTTGTTTCTTACTTTACAACTTAGTTTTTGACTCTACTCTAATGTTAGTATGTCCTCCTTGGTCATCGTTTCTATCTAAGTTCATTCTTGTGATCTCCTGAAGCCCAATGGCCTTACATACCATCCACATGTTGTTGGCTCCCAAATGTGTCTATTCAGTCCTGACCAATCCCCTTGGATTCCAGATCCATGTATTCAACTGCCTGATTGAAATCTCCACCTAGATGTCTAACAGGCATCTCACACTAGACTTGCATATAACAGATTCCTGTTCATCCCTTCCAAACCGCCTCCTCCTATACACATCGTCTCAACTAATAGCAACCTCATTTTAGTTGTTCAAGATAAAATCTTCAGTGTCATCCCTAACTTCTCTTTTTCTCCCACCCCACATCTGATCTGTGAGCAAATTCTCTTGGCTCGATCTTTAAAAAAGATCCAACATTCATCTACTTCCTACCACCTCCACTGCCACCATCCTGCACAAGTAAGTCATCATGATCTCTCACACAGTTTTATTGCAAATAATCTTCTAACTAGTCTCTCTGTTTCTGCCATCCCCCTTCACCTCCAGTTCTCCCTGTCTTAGTCCCTTCCTGCTGCTATCACAAAATGCCTTAGATTGGGTAATTTATAAATAATAGATATTTGTTTCTCACAGTTCTGGAGGCTGGGAAGTCCAAGATCAAGGTGCCAGGAGATTTGGTTCTGGTGAGGGCCCACTTTCTGCTCCATAGATTTCTGTGTTATCACATGGTAGAAGGGTGGAAGGATAAAGAGCAGAAAGGATAAAATCACTTCCTCAAGCCCTTTTAAAAGCACTCTAATTCCATCCATAAGGGCAGAGCCCTCATGGCCTAATCACTTCCTGACAGCTCCACCACTTTTTAAAATATATTTTTAATTTTATTTTATCTTATTTTAAAAATTTTTAATTTTTGTTTTTTGTTTTACTTTAAGTTCCAGGATACATGTGCAGAATGTGAAGTTTGTTACATAGGAATACATGTGCCATGGTGGTTTGCTGCACCTACCAACCCATCATCTAGCTTTTAAGCCCTGCATGCATTAGGTATTTGTCCTAATGCTTTCCCTCCCCTTGTCCCCCACCCCTTGAGAGGCCCCAGTGTGTGTTGTTCCCTTCCCTGAGCCCAGGTATTCTCATTGTTCAGCTCCCACTTATGAGAGAATATGTGGTGTTTGGTTTTCTGTCCCTGTGTTAGTTTGCTGAGAATGATGGTTTCCAACTTCATCCACATTCCTGCAAAGGACACGATCTCATTCTTTTTTATAGCTGCATAGTATTCCATGGTGTTTATGTATAACATTTTCTTTATCCAGTCTACCATTGATGGGCATTTGGGTTGGTTCCAAGTCTTTGCTACAACCTGATTGTTGACTTTTTTTTTTTTTTTAATCAGAGCTTCACCTAGGCTGACCCTAATGCCCATCAATGGTATGGTATCATTGACTATTTTGTAAATAGTGCTGCAAAAAACATATGTGTGCAGGTGTCTTTATAGTGTAATGATTTATATTCCTTTGAGCATATACCTAGTAATGGGATTGCTGGGTCAAATGGTATTTCTGGTTCTAGATCTTTGAGGAATCACCACACTGTCATCCACAATGGTTGAACTAACTTACGTTCCCACCAACAGTGTAAAACTATTCCTATTTGTCCACAGCATCGCCAGCATCTATTGTTTCTTGACTTTTTAATAATCATCATTCTGACTGGCCTGATGTGGTATCTCATTGTGGTTTTGATTTGCATTTCTCTAACGATCAGTGATGATGAGCTTTTTCCATATGTTTCTTGGCCACATAAATGTCTTCTTTTGAGAAGTGTCTGTTCATATCCTTTGCCCACTTTTTGATGAGGTTGTTTTTTCTTGTAAATTTGTTTAAGTTCCTTGCACATTCTGGATATTAGACCTTTGTCAAATAAGTAGATTGTTCCACCTCTTAATACCATCACCTTGAGGTTTAATTTCCAACATATGAATTTTGAATAACACCCATATTCAAGTCATAGCGCTCCTTCTTCCACCCTTGCCAGTTCTCCTGTCAATTCTCAAAACAGAGTGTTACTGTTACAGTGTAAGTCAAATGATGTTACACCTCTACTTGAAAGCTTGTAACTTCTCCACTCAAAATTCTGTAGTTCATTTAAGGTAAAACTCAAAACTTTATTTATTTATTTATTTATTTATTTAGAGACAAAGACTCACTTTCTTGCCTGAGCTGGAATGCAGTGGCCCAACGACAACTCACTGCAGCCTTGGTCTCCTGGGCTCAAGTGATCCTCCTACCTCAGCTGGAACCACAGGTGTGTGCCATCACACTCGGCTAAATTTTTTATTTTTTATAGAGATGAGATCTCCCTGTGTTGTCCAGGCTGGTCTCAAACTCCTGGGCTCAAGCGATGCACCTGACTAGGCCTTCCAAATTGTTGGGATTACAGGCATGAGCCACCACCCCCGGCTCCCAAACCTCTTTCTGATGGCATAGAAAACTACCTCATCTCTCCCTACCACACCAGCTTCCTGATGATTCTTTTAACAACCAGGCACAATCCTGCCCCAGGAAATTTGCTCTTTCCATGACCTCTTCTTGAGATACTCTTCCCCCAGGTATCCATATTGCTAGGTCCACTTTCTTCAGGTATTTGCTCATAAGTCATTTTCTCAGTGGAATCTTCCCTGGAAATGCTAATAAGATTTCAATCTCCATTTTTAATATTTTTCTTCCATGCTTACATTTTTTCCTCCCTCAGCACTTACCACTAACATTTTAAAAGATTTTACTTAATTTATTTTGCTTGTAATCCATCTCCCCCACTAGAATGTAGTCTCAAGAAGCAGTGATTTTGTCTGTTTTGTTCATTCCTGCTCCTGTTACCTGGAACAGTGTCTGGAACCCAGTTGGTCCTCAATAAATATTTGTTGAAGGAAAGAAGGAATGAATACCGAATGAGTAATTGTTGTCATCTGTACCATTGTGTCTTTGTCATATTGATGACTGCAGCTATCTAATAGCAGATCTTTCTCCCATTAACTGGTTTCATCAAGCACCATGTCACATTTACCCTCACTCCATTTTACTAATATGTTCTTCAGATTATTTTATTCCATAGGCAAGTTTGAGAAATGCTATATCATACTAAGTTTTTAAAAAGTAGGTTGGGGAGCAGATAATCAAGTATTAAGATATGTATATATATATATATATATCTTCTTATTTTTATTATTTTGAGATGGGGTCTCACTCTGTCACCCAGGCTGGAGTGCAGTGGAGCGATCTTGGCTCACTGGAACCTCAGCCTCCTGGGTTCAAGTGATTCTCCTGCCTCAGCCTCCTGAGTAGCTGGGATTACAGGCACCTGCCACCAAACCCAGCCAAGTTTTGTATTTTTAGTAAAGACGGGATTTCACCATGTTGGTCAGGCTGGTCTCGAACTCCTGACCTTGTGATCTGCCCACCTCAGCCACCCAAAGTGCTCAGATTTACAGGCATGAGCCACTGCACCTGGCCAAGATTATATATATATATATAAAAAATATGCATATACATGGACCAGGAGGAAGTGTTACCATTAACAGGGTGATAATCTCTGATACGTTCTACCCACTTGTTTGTACTTTCTACAATGTTTACAGTGAGTTACGTCAAAAACAACAAAAGCATTATTTAAAAATTATCAAACCATTTCTTAAACGTAATTATAGCCTGGTTTATTCTTTTTCCTTTGTATATGAGTGAAATACTCTGTATTATATGGAGTGAGTTTATTCCACTGAGATTTCTCATTCTCAATGACTTTCATGCAGCTGTGCAGGTTGTGCACTGCACAACTCCAGGTGGTGTCAATTACACAGTATTCTATTGGGTGGAACCTTCTAGTGTTGTGCAATGTGCACCTCTGTCTCATTACCTGAAAAGTCATTTATCTTGGATTGATTCTTCAATTAGAGATTATGTAGAGAAAAGCAAGACAATTTGTTAAGGCTTATGAATATTTAGCTACAGGAATACCTCAGAGATATTCAGGGTTCAGTTCCTGACCACCACCATAAAAGCATATAAAAGTTATATCTGCACTATTATCTCTTAACTATGCAATAAAATTATGCCTTAAAAATGTAAATACCTTAATTAAAAAATAGGTTTTTCTGCTAAAATGTGCTTACAATCATCTGCGCCATCAATGAGTCATACTCTTTTTTTGTTGGTCCAAGGTCTTGACTTGATGTTGATGGCTGCTGGAAGTTGGGGTGGCTGCAGCAATTTCTTAAAATAAGACAGCAATGAAGTTTGCCATATCGATTGACTCTTCCTTTCACAAAAACTTTCTCTGTTAGATGTGATGCTGTTGAATAGCATTTTACCCACAGTAAAACTTCAAACTGGGGGTAAGACCTCTCACAGCCTGTCTCTGCCTTATCAACTAAGTTAATGTAATATTTTAAATCCTTTACTGTCATTTCAACAATGTTCACAGCATCTTTACCAGGAATAGATCTCATCTCAAGAAACCACTTTTTTTTGTTCATCTGCAAGAAGCAACTCCTTGTGTTAAAGTTTTATTATTAGATTGCAGCAATTCAGTCATATATTCAGGCTCCACTTCTCATCCTAGTTCTCTTGTCATTTCCACGGCATCTGCAGCAATTTCCTCCACTGAAGTCTTGAGCCCCTCAGAGTCATTCATGAGGGTCAGAATAAATTTCTTTCAAACTCCCATTAATATTGATATTTTGACCTCCTCTCATGTTCTTAATAGCATCTAGAGTGGCAACTCCTTTCCAGAAGGTTTTAAATTTACTTCCCCCAGATCCATTGGAAGAATTCCTATTGATAACACTTATAGTCTTTTTGAAATGTATTTATTAAAGAATAAGTCTTGAAAGTCAAAACTATTCCTTGATCTGCATGGATGCAAAATGAATGTTATGTTAGTAGGCATAAAGACAGTGTTAATGTCCTTGTACATCTTCATCAAAGCTCTTTGGTGACAAGGTGTATTGTCAATGAGCAGTAACATTTTGAATTTTTTTTTTTTCCTCAGCAGTAGGTCTCAACAGTGGACTTAAAATATTCAGTAAACCATGTTATAAACAGATGTGCTGTCATTCAGGCTTTGTTGTTTCATTTATAGAGCCCAGGTAGGGTAGATTTAGCATAACTCTTAAAGACCCTAGGATTTTTTAAATGGTGAATGAGCAGTAGCTTCAATTTAAAGTCACCAACTGCATTAGCCCCTAATAAGAGAGTCAGCTTGTGCTTTGAAACTTTGAAGCCAAGCATTGACTTTTCCTTAGTTATGAAAAGTCCTAGATGGCATCTTCCTCCAATATAAGGCTGTTTAGTATACATTAAAAATCTGTAGTTTAGTGTAGCCACTTTTATTGGTAACTTGCTGTAGCTTCTACATCAGCACTTGCTGCTTCACTTTGCATTTTTGTATTATGGAGATGGCTTCCTTCCTACTTCTGTTGGCTTCTAACTTTTCTACTGTAGCTTCCTCACCTGTCTGAGCCTTCATAGAACTGAAGAGAGTGAATGGATTAGGCTTTGGCTTAAGGGCATGTTGTGGCTGGTTTTCTCATCTATTCAGATCATTAAAACTTTTTCCATATCAGTAAGAAGGCTATTTCGCTTTCATCATTTGTGTGTTCACTGGAATAGCACTTTTCATTTCCTTCAGGAACTTTTCCTTTGCATTCACAACTTGGCTGTTTGGCACCAGCAGCCTATCCTGTGGCCTCTTTTGGTTTTGACATGCCTTCCTTACTAAGTGTAATCATTTGTAGCTTTTGATTAAAAATGAGAGACATGCAGCTCTTCCTTTCACTTGAACACTTAGAGGCCATTGTAGGGTCATTAATTGTCCTAGTTTAGATATTGTTGGGTCTCAGGGAATATGGAAGCCTAAGGAGAGAGAGAGAGATGAGAGATGGGGGAGCGGCCGGTGAGTGGAACAGTCAGACCACACGCAACATTCCTCAATTAAATTTGCCATCTTATCTGGGCTTGGTTGGTGGTGCCTGAAAGCAGTTACAACAGTAACATCAAAGACCACTGATAATAGATCATAATAAAAGATATAATAATAATAATAATGGAAAACTTTGAAATATTGTGAGAATTACCAAAATGTGACACAGAGGCACACAGTGAGCATGTGGTGTTCAGAAAATGGTGCCAGTAGACTCGATTGACACAGGGTTTCCACAAACCTTCAATTTGTAAAAAATGCGTTACCTGCAAAATGCAGTAAAATAAAGTACAATAAAATGAGGAACACCTGTACTCTTACATGAGTAATTAGTAAAGATATTACTAATGTGAAAGAGTCTTAATAATTATACAGGGAAGATTCTTTTACACCATAGTCATTCTAATAACAGCAATTTGTTAAAGCAAATGTCTTACTGCCAAGCATATTTTCAAGCTGCCCGGGGCCTAGGGGAAAAATGAGGTTGATATTAAAAAACTTCTTTAGCCCCATCAGTTAAATTGTCACTGTATTTGCCACAACCCTTAACTTCTCGTGGATGTACTGTGTGATTTTGGTTTTGTTCATTTCAGCAGATGCAGTGTGGCTCTTTTCATGCTCTCATAAGAGAACCCAGCTAATTCCAAAAAGCAGGCCTTATGGTCACAGCTCAGCTGCATACCTCACCTCTCAGAGGGCAAAGCTCCATTGCCTTCTTAGTCATTGGAAGGTTAAAGATTTTATATTAGAAAGTGAATGTGACATGAAGAAGTGACTAGACAAAGCTCTGTTGCACAGGATTGTTTTTTCTATATAATTGGGTAGAAGTAAGATTTTAAAATAACATATTATTGACATAGGCCATTAGCTGAAACAGAAATGCGTTTTGCACAGAAACTTCTCGGTGGTGTACTTTTTGTCAAAGTGTCTTTGTTACCTATCAGAGAAGGTTTTTCTCTGTTGTCCTCATATCTCCAAAGAGCAAGACGATTAAGTTCAAGTGCACATGCATTTGTGTTGGTGGTGCTGGTGGTGGTGCTGATGGTGATGTGGAGAGTGTTGCTGCTGCTTCAGTTTAGTTATCCAAAAATGGGCCTAGGAATATGAGAAGACTGATGAGGTTGAGTCATCAAATTCCGGAGTCTGAGTGAAAAAGTTAAATGAAGAGGGTTGTAGTTGTTTGCTCATCTGACAAAGGGGCATTGGAAAGAGTGACTATCACCTTGGTCTCAGACCGGAAGATGGCAACAGAACCTCAATCCCTGGGCTTAATCGTAACTCCATACTCACTGGCCCTCTGTTTTACCACACTGAGCGCTGTTTTTCCCTTCGTAATGTGACCATCATATTTCCTTCACAGAATTAATAAGAGGATAACATGAGATAATTAGTGTAAAAATAAAAGTGCTCTGTAATATAAGGTAGTAACAATAATTCTTGCTGTAATCTATGGAGTACCTAATATGTTGGGCATTGAAGTGAGTGCTTTAAATACATTGTCTTAAATCTTCAAATTCTCTTGTTAGGGTAGGTATTATTAACTCTTTTACAGAGAAGGAAACAAGTTTAGAGAGGTTGAGTGACTTTTCCAAGCTCACAAAGCCTGGTAAATGTCTGAACAAGAGTTCATATTTCAGGTCTGTTTGACTCCCAAGTCTATTTGGCATTTGAACTGTTTTTGATATATATCCTTGTTTTCATTAATCATTGAAGGCTGTCCTTGGACATGAACCATCAATAATAATGATGATGCTAGCAATAAATTAAAATATGTATTGGCTGGTTACTATGTGATGTGCCAGGCACTTTACATGTCCTGGGCACTTTTCATGTAACAATCCATTTAATCCTTATAACTATATGTGGTAGGTGCTGTTACTATCTCCATTTTATAGATGAGAAAATTGAGGTACAGAGAGGTTAACTAACTTGTCCACCCCACTAAGTAGGTAAGCTAAAATTCAAACCTAGACAGTCAAGTGATTAAATTATGTAAAAGATAAATTATTGGAAAGCAACAAGGGACTTCCTGACTTTTCGTTAATAGAATGCATAATGTAAGGTTTCTCTAATAGGTACAATTTACAAAGAGATGATTATACAGTATGCATTTATGTCCCAAGACCTTGCCAAAATTGTTTCTATTTGGGGAATAGTTTGTCTCTCATGAAGTGAAGTTCAAAAATAAGCCACATCTATGTGCATATGTATTCATTTAACTCTGTAAAAATTACTTTCCTGAAGATCATATAAATTCTTAGTCATATAAATGGTACATTGACAAAATGTCTCCTTTTATTTTGGTCTCAACCCAGGAAGCGATACAAATAAAGGTTGCTTATTTTTCTTATTAATTTTCCAAAAGAGTTTAAGATTTGGAGGCTTGTTAAAACAAATCTTTTTAGCAAGATTAATTTTAAATTTAGACATTATGAGTATCAAATTAAGCTGTCAGCCTGTGAAATGATACAGAGAAAGATGTGTTACAACAATTCCCTCCTCTCCAACCTCTGTAGAGATGGGTAAGTCTGAACAGGAAAACCAGAGGCCAGGAATCACATTTTAGTAATTCTTTTCTAGTTATGTCAGATTTCTAGCATGCTATTAGAGACATATGTGTCATCTTCACCATCAACCAACATATCATTGCTGTTTCAAACTGTTACTAGAGCTGTTGACACAGAATATTGTGTCTGTCGACAGCTCCAATTAGCTGGCGTGTCTGACTGGTGACAGCATGGTCTACTTTTGTTTACAGGGACGGTGGGAGCTGTATCTCCGTCTCCCAACCTCCAGTGGCAGACAGATGGATAGAGCTATATAATCATCAATGGAAGTGTGTGATATTCTGTCTTCACAAACCATCGTGCAAAGCAGACCCAACGGCCTTTTGTCTGCTTTTAGAAATGACTGCAAGAATCCTCCCAGCTGTCAAGTTATGGGGTGAATATGTATAAAATGCATCATGTATGTGTACCTGTAGAAAACACTGGATTGGGATGTGCAGAGGAAATAAAGCAGACACTTTTTTAAAAAGCCAATGTGATATTTAATTTAATTTAATTTATGTGGCAACATTAAATATATGTTTGCCTCAGCACTGCTTCTAAAAACATCTTTTATTGACATTTTTAAAAAAAATCAACCAATTAATGTTTTATTATTATTTACTAGTAAAATTACTAGTAAAAATTATTAAATTGCATTTTGTAATTTTTAACATTCTCTACTGTGTATGGCCTTACTCTGACATATAATGGTTACACTGGCTTGTAATTCTCTATGATGTGTCATCTTCTCTACTAATTTTCATCCTTTCATCATTGGAGACACATGTCAGAGGTTGATGTTCACAGGCAAAAAAACCCAAACCAAAACAAAACAAAAAACCTTAGTAAATGTATCTGAGGATGTGTGCAATTCAGAGTACACGGCTTGTAACTCCATTATTTCCAACAGAAAGAAGTGAAGTGAAATGTGATACAAGTAATTGAGAATGATATAATTATATGGATAGTCTGGAATTATTTTTAAAATGTAAACTGTTTTTAAACTTCTTTAGTTTTTTTTTTTTAATTAGTTTTATTATGGCATGACTCAAGACTAACCATTATATGGCTGGAAACCACTAACTCCATTCATTTCCTGTTCTCCGTTAACTGTGACTCATCCCTCAGGTTTCAGCTCAAATGCCATTTCCTGAGAAAACATTCCCAGAATCCTCACCATACACACTTACAACACTATTCTTTTTATTTATGATATTTATTGCAATCTGGAGTGTCCATTTGTGTAATTATTTGACTAACATTTGCCTCTTCACTGAGTCCTATGAGAGCAGAGAACAGGTTGGTGTGACTCACCATTGAATCTCTGGTGCCCAGTATAATGCCTGGTACCCAGCTGGGACTCAATACAGATGTTTTAGATGAGTGCTGTTCAGGTGGATTCATACTAGAACTTCCCATATAAAAGAAATACAAGTCTTCTGGTTTCCTAAGACTGGAGCTTCTTGTGAGAAAGTGTGTGTGTGTGTGTGTGTGTGTGTGTGTCTGTGTGTCTGTGTGTGTCTAATTATACCTCCCAACTTAGCCCAGAACTAGATGTAGGTGGATGATAGTGGGGGCGAGGGGCTGTGTTCCAGGTAGAAGGAGTAGCATGTATGAGGCTACCATGTGGGCTTCTAAGAGCCCAGCTCTACACATGGCAGGATTGAAGGGGAGGCCTAAGAAGAGTAAGATGGAAAAAGAGGCCATCAAACAACAGACCATCTACAGCTGTTGGAGGTCAACCTGAAACTCTGACTTGGAAAACCTTAAGGAAAATTTCTTTTTACCTTCTATTAATGGATAGTAAATATATTAATATTGGTCTTATTAATACTGTGTTCCAGCAAACATGGGAATAACACCCACTCTTCTGAAGCCTGGTTTGATAATCGTATCCCATATATCAAGTGGATAGGTAGCACAAAGGAGAAACAAACATTTGTTGTTTCATGTGACTGAAATTTTGGAGTTATTTGTCATGGTGGGATAGCTTAGTCTATCATGACTGATGTGGAAATCTTTGCATCATTATGAGTTATTTATGTATTTCTACATATTAGAGTATATGGTGAACAAAAACCATGTTTTCATGTTTACTGTTCTGCATTCAACAAATTGGCTACCCTTTAGTGAGAACTTAAAACCCTTTTCTGAATAAACGTTCGGAATTTGAAAATCAGTATTTACTGGACTAACGGTTCATTGAGAGCAGAGGCCATGTCTTTTACATTTTTATACCTCCCATCAGGACTTACACACTTAGCAAGTAGTAAGCATTAACTAAGTGTTAGTTGCGTGCATGGATCATGTTTATAACATTTCTTTTCCTGGCTGAAGCCTGTCAGTTAGTTTCCTCTTTTTTTGCATAGGTTTCATTTCCCAACACCTGAATCCCTTTCTCCAAGTTTTCCTTTTTTTTTCCCTGAATTGTAGACCTCACAAATGGTTATGATATGAATACCTACAAGCTGTTAATGAAGTTAAATCTGTTAAGTCTGGACTATTCTGACCCCTGGATCCATTTTGTTGCTTTCACTCATCCAGACGGTTACTGTCTACTATTTGGGCAGTTCTTTCTTGTATACTTCGGTCCATGGGACAGTCATTTAAGACTGTGTTTATTTAGCTTTCATTTCACAAGACATTTTTACATTATTATTATTTGATGTTCTCTAGAAACCCTGGGAAAAGTGGATACGGGAAGTATTTCCCCCATTTGATAAATGGAGAAAATAAGGTTCACAGAAGTCACCCAACTAGCAATGGAATATGTACCGTTGAGTGGTTGGTGACATACTTTATTTTGCTAATATCAGAAAACCAGATAAATACTTACCCTTGCCGTGCTTAACTGCCAATTTGATCTATCAGGTAGAGGCTATTGCTGCACTGGACTTAATTCTCATTAGCAAGGTGATGCTTGTGGAGGTGATGAAGATTATGGGGGAAAAATGACTATATTTTTTAGAATTGAGAATAGTTGAAGGAGGGAAGACTGAATATAGCCAAATGTGTTCTTTGGGCTTTTAGAATGCATTTTTCCATCAAAGAAATGACTCCCAAGAAATGGCATCATTCTATGGACAGAGACTTTAAAAGGGAACATGGCTCAAAGGAGATAGGAAACTCTGAAAAATGTAATTCTGATCATATATTCATGAATAATTCCCATGTGAATAAAGGTAGGCACATCTAAAGAAGCTTTTGTGACTGCCAATGGGGCTCTCTGATGAGCTTATATTCAAAAGGACTCCTAGAAGGGATAGAAGAAGGAAGGCATAATGATGGATAAGATTGGCCAGGCACTGAATGGATGGGCCCTGAGAGCAAGCAGACTGGCTCCCATAGGCTCCTCGGCCATGTGTGACCTTAGGTGGGCTACTGCTTGCTTGTGGGAGCCCTGGAGTAGACATTCTCTGTCCCCATTTCTCACTTCAAGATTCACAAATATTAAACATGCAAAAGAGAGATGCTAAACAGAAGTGTATTCAGATGAGATCAGCCCAAAATGAGATGCAGCTGGTAAAAATGCTAAAGGAGTATAAAGCTGCTTTCAAGCAAAGAAAATAAGAAAGGGAACTGTGAGGATGAAAGTGAATGGCATGGGTAAACACATCCTATAAACTGGGGGGGGGGGATATATAATGTGAGGATCCCTAGCTCTGATTCATGTTAGGCCCCTTGCTTGGAGAATCTTTTGCTCTGTTAGTAGAAACTGCTTTTGTTTGCCTGTGAACTGATCTAACAAGAATTACCATCTTTAAACTGAGAGGGCAGAACAAGCAATGCAAACAGAAAACAGAGCCAAGAGAGATGAAGAGAGAGAGCATCAGGTGTTCTTAATGAGAAAACTTCTGTGTTCAGGAGAACTGTATCCCAAGACGCCGAAACACCTTAAAGATATCATCAAAGGCCTATCTGGATGCTTTTAAGAAACCACAGAGAAAAAGAGAAGAGCCTTCCGCACTGAAGAGCAAACACTATATCAGTTTTCAAGAGAGATAGAAGGATGAAGCATTAGTCTCATTAATGAACATAGTGTTGATCTCTAAAAAATATAGAGTAGATTTTTGAATTGGAAAGTTTGTGAGCACATGGTAAGAAAAGCAGCACACAGAAGGGTCATCGTGATTCTTTAAGAGCATCTGGATGTTACACACACACACACACACACCCCCCCCAAAACTGGGTTGGTAGATGTGGTGGCAGAATAATAGCTCCAAAAGATGTCCTTATCCTCATCCCTGAAATTGTGAATATATTAGGTTACATGACAAAGGGGAATTAAGATTATAGATGGGATTAAAGTTAATAATCAGTTGAATTTGAGATAAGCAGATTATCCTAGATTACCTGGGTGATCCCTTTCTAATAAAAAGGCTCCTTAAATGTGAAAGAGGGAGGCAGAAGAGTCATTGTCAGAGTGATGCAATGTATGAGACTCCATCAGTCATTGCTGGCTTTAAAAACAGAAGGGGCCATGAGCCAAGGAATGCTGGCAGCCTCTACAAGCTCAGAAATGCCTTTGGACTCAACTGGGACTTACACCATCAGCTCCACTGGTTCTCAGACCTTTGAGTAACACTGCTGATTTTCCTGGTTCTCCAGGAAAACCTGGAGATGGCAGTTTGTAGGACTTCTCAGCCTCTATAACCAAGAGAGCCAATTTTTAGAATAAATCTCCTCTTATTACCACAAACATAGCACTTAAAATGACACATTTATTATCTCACAGTTTCTGTGGATCAGATTCCAGTCATGGCTTAGCTAGGTCATTTGCTTCTGGGTATCACAGGATACAGTCAGCATGTTGACCAGGTCTGCAGTCTCATCTGAGGCTTGACTTAAGAACATCTGCCTCCAAGCCCACATGGCTATTAGTAGCATCCAGTTCCTTGTAGGTTGCTGGAATGAGGACTTCAATTTCTTTTTGACTGCTGACCCAGGGCTACCCTAAGCTCCTTGCTGCAGGGACTCCTCCAATATAGAAGCTCAAACTATGGCAACTTGCTTCTTCAAAAGTAGCAAGGGAGAGAGTCACATACATGCAATTACATATATCTTGTCACCTCTGTTATATTTTATTAGCCAGAAGCTAGTCACAGGTTCTTTCTACACTCAAGGGAAGGAAACCGCACAAGGATATGAATACCAGATCATGGGTGCCATGGTAGAGTCTGTCTTCCATGCTACCCTATTTTCTCAATTTACTTATGAATTGGGCAGACATATTATATGCTCAGCTGCTCCTCTAGGAAGTACTGAGGACTTGATCCAACTATTTCACTGAAACTGTGGTTATCAAAGATGCTAAAGCACTTTGCTAAACTTTTGTCCCATCACATCATGAGTTCTTCAAGGGCAACAAACCTTTAATTGATATTAACATTATTTAAATATCACCAATTTTCTTTTGTCATATATGGCATATGATGTAGACTCATGGTAGGAGAATCCTAATTACCCTCCCTCACCCAGGAGTTCATA